CACATCACATCACAACCTTCAAGTTTATTTTTGGAAGGTAAAAGAAAGCAGCTTGCGAAATAGGTTTGGTAACTTAAAACTTGATTTAGATTTCTGCAGATGAACTCAGTTCTGTTTTCTAATCAAAACTTTACCATATATAACTGGAATAAGCCAATTTTCAAAAGGTCCTAGACGAAAAAAAGGTAGGGCACCCTAAAACAATGCAAGACCTTACACAGACACGAGCTATGAATGGAGACAAGACATTCACATAAGATCTGGAATGAAAAGAAAAAGCATGACAAAGAAGCCATCAAGTGAGTGCAACTGGCAGGCAGATTTGGCCCTCTGTTATCGCTGATCAAAAAGTGTATGTAAAGCATTATGATTTCAAGTCTTCTCAGGAGCAACAGTAGATTATATGAAAAATTACTTCAACCCAACGATAAATAAAATTCCAAGACAATCATTCTTCACTGTGGTACGAATTATTTTTTCATCCTAACCTGCACGCTCAAGAAAGCATCGGAAACAGGGAACAACACAGTTATGGTCTCAGGGGGGCTTCATCGATTAGAAATTGAGGGGGCAAAACCAAACCATCAACGTCTAACTTGGATGAAATCTATAATGGAAAAATTAATGATTGTTTTCCAAAAGACCAACTCGATGTTAATGCCAAGAAATTCATCCTACCAATAAAATTTTACTATAAAACTTTCTTCACTTTAAAAGCGTCTAAAATGAAAATGGTCAGAAAATTAGGGGTACTCAAATAGTTTTGATTCTCTCTACTTGCAGCTCTGTTTTTCTTAAACATTCTTAGAAATTATAGCTTGTTTTCAATTATAGAATTTTTTTTGTAAAGTTTCATGCTCATGACAATTAACAACAAAAGTCTGTGCAAAGTAGAAAGCAGCTCTATTGTGCAAAGCAGTTCTGCAAACACTTTCCATATTAAAAACAGGAGGTGTATAAATAATATTTGATTTTGTTTATTTTTGTCCGACTGTATTTTGAAAACCAAAAGGCAATACGACTTCTTGAACTTTCTCAGGTTTTTAAATTTTTGGTCATCCTCCTCTATTCCGTTTTGCTTCTACAACCTTCCTATGGCCACTGGCCATAGGGCCGTGATGTTTTTCTGATTCCGATTTTAGAAAATTTTTGGAGCATGCTTTCAAACGAGAACTTACGGAAGAATTGGCTTGCATTGTAGAAACCTATTTAGGTGCAGTTCTTTTTACAATTTCTTTGAAAAAATGTTTGAATACTTGATAAACATGGACCGAAGAAGACAGAGATGGATCCAGAGCAAATTTGAAGGAGGGGCAGTCGGTAGTGGGGGCGCTGAAAAATTTTCATAAATTGATGACGAGAGTACGCTGTATACAACAATTCCAGATCCATTTTCAGAATAAACAACATAACTTTGAGGTAATCATTTAAGCAGATTAACCTATCGGTCTCAGAAACTTTCCCCCCTGATTCTCATCCTTTCACCTGATTCACCCAGAAAGGGGCACACAATTTCCAAAAAAGGGGCGCTAGACTTGCCTCAACTCGTCAAGGGAGGGGCAACTGCCCCTAGTTGCCCCCCCCCCTTAAATCCACCACTGGATAAAGAAGAAATACGCCAGGGCCAGTGATATTACCTTCATGAATGGAGTTATCGTAAAGCTACTATGCTGTGTTTTAGGTTGAAATATAAACATAATGAAAGCTGCACCGCTGAACATTGGGAAGCCTTTCGTCGACAGCGCAAACAGCGCAAATTATTTAGAGAGTATTTAGAGAAGGGAGTATTTAGAGAGTTTCTGAAAAAAGTTGAGTACTTTGGATGTAATTGACATCAAAAATTTTTGAAACACTGTAAGACCTATCCTTTCTGATAAAGGTCGATTCAACACAAGATTTACCCTTATCGATAATAATGCGATAATTTCAAATGTGAGAAATCACCTAGACACAGAGTCTGCAAAATCGATCTACCGGTCATTGGTTCTTCCAGTGCTTACTTATCGCGGAGTTTTAAATTTGAAATTGAATAGGACACAAGAAAACAAGCTCAATTCATTCCATAATCGTGCAATGAAAATAATTGCAAGACATCGAGCATGCGAAATTACATCACCAATGAATGCCACCAAAAGGAGTGCCTTCATGTTAGCACACAATATCCTACAGAAAAATGTCTGTAATTCCTTCAGCCAGTACTTTACGTATCAAGAACATTCCAAGAACACAAGAAGAAACAAATATGGTGTATGCCTTCCACGATTACGAACTGAATACGCAAGAAAAGGCCTCTTCTCCATGGATGCAAAGATCTTTAATGAACTTACACTTGCTACAAGGATGTCTGACAATTCAGCTGCTTTCAGGAATCTCATAGATAATTTTTATGCATAACATAACATTTTATAAACAACTATATCCCTAAAGGTGTTTCTAACGGACAAACATTGATAGCAGTAATCAATTGTTGAAGTTTCTTCTCCTGAATAAAAATTCATTTTATTATTGTCATTATCATAACGGAAGTTGCTGAAACCATGTAAGATCATTTTGTATCTATTACTGACTATTAGGTCTCACGGATAAAATTGAGGTTACCATAAGTACAGAAGATGTCTCAGATCCTTTAGCAAGGGTTATTCATTTAAATATTCAGAACACACAAGTATAAGAAAAATTCGTAGTTTTGGTAGAGAGAACAATTTTTTTAAATTCCAAAAAGTTTCTTTGGAATAGATGCATTCTGAAATTAGGAGACTTAATCCCAAAAAGGCAAAAAAGGCGTTCAAAATGGTGTGTTTCCGGACTATTGGAACTAGCAGATGTCATTTCTCTTTAAAAATCTGAGGAGAAAACCAGTAGAATATATTACAGACACGTGAACGGGTTGCCAACTGTTTCTAAAGTTTTTGAGAGACTTGACCTACCCTCCTATAGAATTCTTTGTATCCTTCGTCTTGCGTCTATATTGCAAACGTGCCAATACATCCGAATCTCAAAAATGTAATGATTTTATGCCACCATGGCTAAAAACGGGTTCAAAACTATCCAGTGTGGAGGGCAACGTCTTTAGCTACCTCTACCTCAGCAGATAAGGAATGCTCAATCTACCAATGTCTTTAAGAAAGAAATTAAAAGTTGGAATGGCACTGACTACATATACAAATTATGTAGAACATTCGTACCAAAACTTGGTTTTTTTGCAATACCATCTGGTATCAAAGACGGACTTTCGGATTTTCAACAGCGCCGATTTTTATACCACTATCTTTTTATTTCTGTTTTCTAAAGTTTAACATGTAAATTAATCTTAGATGTTTTAAAAATCTTTTCACTGACGTTTTATACTTTTGAGAGTGTCAGTCACAAAGTTGAGTATGTTTCAAAACAATTGCTTTTTTCAAAGCCACTTTTCATATAAAGAGTTCGTGAAAGGAGTAAATACAATTGAAACAGAGACATTTGCATATCTAGCAAAACTATCTATCTGAAACTATCTAGCAAACTTCCTAACCGAAATTTTTAAAGTTTAAATCATCAAAGTAGAGGCCAGCCTTGGGAACCTTTTGGCAAATGACCGGAAGTCACGTTTCTAGAATTATGAAAAATGGACACGTAATAGAGGACTGGGCACAAGAGCCCCAAATAACTTTTGATAAAGTTTTACGTCTGGATTTGCAATTAATTCTATCCATTTAGCACGTAATATTGCGCCAGGAAACAAAGTTTTAGTTGTTTGTTTAACTTGCATAGTTTTAAAGATATGGTGCAAAGCCCAACAGTAGAATGGGTACAAGTAGCCTAGTTTAAAAATGGCTTTTGATAAGGTTCTAGAGCTGGAGCTGCATCTCATTCCATTCATCACGTTAAATTGAGCCAGGAACTTGCAAGCTAAAGCGTACTGACAGAACTTGTTTCTAGGAATGTAGAAACGTATCTAGAAAATTAGCTAAAATTCTCTAGAATTTCTGATTTCATACTCTTCATGTAGATTTTTAATGGTTATGTGGTATTAGATCATTTACTTTGTTGCAGTTTTGAATCTAGAGTGATCTCAGCCTGGCTGTAAATTAATGAAAACTATTTTATATCCCTAGCCAAACAGCGGAAGGTCAAGGGCATTCTCCCGGAAAATATTTGTAGATCATGGATCATGCACTTTAGAATGCTGGAGAATGCTGGATAATTTAAACAAAATTATTTGAAATAACCACTGTACTTTAAATCCTCTCAATTAGAGCCGTTTGCTATAAATTCCTCTCAATTTTTCGCATTCTGAATCACATCAAGAAGTATAGCTGTGTTTAAAAATGGTTTGAAGAAAAGTTTAGGATGAATTCAGAATTGTCCACGGTACACACTTTCTTTTCTAATAATTCCTAAATTTTATTTGCGATTCTAAGCTCAAACCATTCTGTATCATGAAAAATAAAAAACACTAGCACAATACGAGCTTGACTATATGTCAAAAATTTTTGCGTGAAAGCCATATTAATTTTTCATTTTGCTAAAAACAATAAGATTAATAAAAAGTCAAACTGTTGATGAAAATCACCTGGTAATTAATGTTAATTAATTCTCAAATTTCGCCAAGATAATGCTTATAAAAAGAAAGTGTGCATGTTACTGAGAGTATCTCAAGATAGCGAGCGACTTTTCCATAAAATTCCTTATATGAAGACGAGGGGGTAATTAAACAACATTCGAGATAGCGAATATTGGAAATGGCGGGTAGTTGAGATAGCAGATGTCAACCGATTCTTCAAGAATCGGTCTTTTCTTTCTCTATTTTCCCGTTTATTGGATCTGTAGTAATCATTGTTGAACGTAATCATGTCCTCCATTGCATCATAGCCATTAGCACGTTTCTTTGTCTACGTATCAACAATAACGCAATCAACTTTCGTAGCGTCCCCTCGCGAAAGACATGCGAACGGCAAATTGTTAGTGAACGAAAGGCAAATTTTATTAGGCATCTATAAATCCACAACAATGCGCAATTCTCGTTTTACTAAAGATCTCATCCCAATAATAATTTTTGCCTAAAATATCAACCCTCTGATATATCTAACTTTATTGAACAATTACGTTTTTATCAGAGAAAGGCAGCTACCCCTTTGCCCCCCCCCCCTCGTTACGCTACTGCTTCAAATGCAAATTCGTCTCTTGTTGCATGATAGCCCTTTTCAAATGTGCTTAGAAATAGATAAATAGATAATTACATGGCAAGTCTGACCTGTGTCGCTACAGATAGATACAATAGTAGATTGATGAAATGCTGATGAAATGCTAATTCAGCTAAATAACTACATATCAAGCGTATAAAGCTGTTGTATTTTAAACATATTATTATCGAGGGCAGCTTTTAAAAAAAGCGCACAATGTGCTTTAAATGAACAATCAAACAGTTCTCAAAGTATTCTAACCAAGCATAAACACTTAAATTGAATCAGAATGTTGCTACAATTGCTTTCTTGAGGAAGCCTCTCTTTGCTCTCAATGTGTCCCACCTGTCAGCAAACCATGTTCCATTGCCACATGGATCTTTGGCTCCAAAAAGCTTTCGCTTTGATCAATTTCTGCCTTTGCAAGTAAATCCTACAAAAAATGTTCTCAAGTCAAACTTCTAAATTCACAATCTTGATTATAATATTGAATGCAATTTGTCACATCCAACAAATTTCAGTCTTACACAAACGATTTCAAGCCTTAGAGGCCCTAACAAAGTTTCTATCTGTTTACTCCATGACAGAAATCTATGTGAGGTTGCAAATGTGAAAGTGTTAATAGTGTTAATAGCATTGTAATGCTATTGCAATTTTTTTCATAGAGATAGGAACTGAGGAACACATAGGCTTGTGCCCACTGTTGAGAAAAAGATGTAAAGTGTCTATTTGCTGCACACAGAGATGAGAGGATCCTCTTTTTGCCTACATCGTAGTTTTTCATTTTTAATTTACCAAAGGTTTTAATAAGGTGTCTGAAAATCAGATTTTTTTATCTGAGATGCCAAAATTTAAAAAATATGAAGAGAAATTAACTTGACAAATGTTGTCTTTCTTGATTGCATGAAGCTTATACACTGCAGCAGATCCAGCCCAGTTTCCCAATGATGCTGTTTAATGATGCAATGCATTGAACTGATTTAAAACCATATCTAGACACCCTTTGTGCCGTCATTGATAGCTTGAACTTCATTTGAGGGTGGCTATGGCTAAAGCAAATCGTGAAGAGTAAAGGGACAGATACAGAGCCCTTGGTTACACCATCATTGACTTCTCTATCGTTAACATTATCTATTATCAACATTGAGTCGGCCAAACTAGTAAAAACAAACCTCTTGGTATAAAGGAAAGCTTGAAGCAAAGCAATTTCTTGACTGGAAACAACTTTGCTTTAGATTTTGATAGAGAATAACATGATCTAATCTAAAGCGTCGAATTCGTTGAGTCAGTGAAACAGCCTTTTCAATACCTGTGCTGCCAAAAACGTGATTTTGCCCTGTTTGCCTTGCTGGACAGTGCTACCAATGAAGATTTTACTCGGATGCCGTATAGATTCTATTCTAAAAATTTGGCACTCTAAATATATTCTATAAAGAAGTCTTGAATTAATGAGCTCACTGAATGAATGAAGTATTACTCCTGGGTTTTCAATAGTAAGTAATGTTAATTATGATAATAATTTTCTATTATCTCTAGGTAAAAAGGCCTTTTTATCAAACAACATTTCCTTTAAACATTATGAATGCTTTGGAAATTTTCGCCAAAATATTTGCAAGATAGATTAAAAAACAATCTACAAAGGACGATATGTCCAACACTGTTACAGTGGATGAACCAAATTTTCAATGGACTTTGCCTTCAGCTTATAGCAGGATTTCTAAAATTTAGCACAATTGATTTTCTAAAGCTATCACAAGTCACGAAAATTGGAAACTGTATTAGCAAAAATACTGAGGTTTCCCGCAGTAGATTCTCCAATTTCACATTTTTGCATATTTTTGTATTAAAATGATACAAAACCAAATTGAATGGATTGTTTGAGGTTTTTTATCGAATGTTTCTTAAAACCAAAACACAAAGACGCAATTGAAAATTCATTCTAATCTTAAATTTCAAACATTTTTTCGATTTCTAAAAACAACCATAATACAATGGAAGTTAGGCCTATCATCAGCCACAATTTTAGTATTAACACTCTTAGCCAGTGTGATCACCTATTTTTTAACTGTTAATTGGAAGTATGGTTGTGGGACTAGATTTGGCATTTTATTCTCATTCTTCGGAATAAATTCAAATTAAGGGGCAACTTATGAAATTATCTTATTAGAGTGCAGTTAGTGAACCAAATGAATATCTTCATTTATAACATTAGTAAACAAACGAATCATTTTCTTACCATTAAGAAGGGATTTGATTACTTTTTATTCATTTCTTTTGGCAAGCTGGCTTTTTCACTTTTCTTTACTTTCGGGGATAACCTCGGTGAAGGAGTCTCGCGTATGGTAAGACTGTTTCGATCACCCTGCTTCATTGAGTCTTTTCTGTCCTTCATCTTTGCCTTTTCGGATGCTGCAAGTCAACAAATTTCAATTCAATTGAAATATCCTGTCTACTTTGATGATAATACACGGTTTTTGGGCAACTAAGCGTCGCAATACTGAAAATAAGAACATCACTCTGACCTGATAACGTCACTTATGCTTGCCGTGTACAGAAGTAAACAATCAACAAACTAAAAGTTTCTACGACAAATACCTACATTTAGGCAGAACGCCCAATTAAAAAAGGGCCAGAAGTGGCTTCCATTGATAACTGTCAATGCATTTTGATAAAGTATCGAATACACATACGCTTTTTTGGCCTCCTTCCGCCTGACGCTGCTGCAACCATAGCTGAATTCATTACTACTTTCGTTAGTCTTTCGCTTGCAACAAAAAATTGATTACTTTCTCTTTACTTCCGAATCTGTTTTGTAACTCGAAACAGCGACTTTACTGAGCACAAGACCAGTCCAACTTCTCTAAACCCTTCACAGTTTTATTTTTGTTTACGAAACTTTCTCAATTTTGCCTGCTGGGTGCCAGCAAATTTCTTTGATACTCCGCATCAAGTTTTTCCTTGAAGAATGTGCACAATATGGGTTTATAAACTTGATCGGCTTACATGCATAAGCTGATTCGTGTCACTGCGCAGCAGCTAATAGGAACAAGTTTAGTTTAATTGTACCTCTCTTTAAAAAGGAAAGCTTAAATCGACCACATTATGTTGCTTTTGTCGTAAAAGTGGATACCAGAAGCGTCTGTATAATCGTATTGACCTTGAGTCATTCCGCTTTCGTTACAGCTATGACGTATTCCACTGTCAAGTGGCATGAACACCTTAGAAACACGTTTGTATCTAATACGCAACCTTGGTATCACGCCTAACACACAGCACCACCATCTCTAGGTGTGGTCTTTTCCAATTCATTCTTTTTAATAAACTAGGATACCAGTGTTTACTTGAAAGAGATCTTGCACCATTTTGTATATTGTTGAATTTTCTTCTTCTTTTCATCCTTCACGACATAGTCGATGAAGCCCCATTTTTGTGAAATCAGCCAGTAACTCAAGTGGCAGCGTTAGCATAGAAATAAGCAGCGACAACTGCATTAGACTTGATATCGTTACCGAAAATGCATAATGAAAGAGAAAGACTTGTCAAAGGGAAAAGATGGGAGACAGCCAGTTTTGCTTGAGCATGTAAAGTTGATTTAACTATTCTCTATCTCTTTGTCGATTCCTCCTTTCTCTGAGCAGTACTATTAGAGTTTAACTTTGTACGTAAATATAAATCATACCGACACCAGTAACTTGAGCAATATTTATGCATCCAATGGCAAAATAAGATGGACTGGTTTGATATATTTCAATACATGTGCTTCGTTGTCCTATTCTTTTTTATTTTGGGGCTGAATAACTTCCATCTGATTCTTTTACTTGAATGAGAAGAAGGGTTTGCTTTCTCGCAACTGTGCGGCGTGAATACTTCATTTTGAATCCTTTTTCGATGTCATTTCTCTTTTTTATTGTATGTACATTGCCAGCTTTTGCAAAATGGAGCTCTCTTTGTCTTGATATTCGATAAAGTTTTTAAAACCATGTCAAACGGGTCCATAAATCAATATTCAGTCTTTGCACCACATTTTTCAACTGCCTGGATTCGCGGGGAGATTGCAAATAATTATGCCATCAGCTCCCTCGTCTATCAAAAGTTATTTCTTTATCTTTCTCAAACCACATTTTCAAGCTTTTCATTTTTGTACCTTCATAATCCCAATGTTCCTGGAAGTTTCGTCGAAGTTTTGGAAAACTGTTGCAATAGTTTTCACAGATAAGACTAAGTATCTCAATCTATCACACTTGTTGAAAATGGAAAAATGATTACCGACGATCTCAAAAATTGCAGATATTTTTAACGATTACTTTGCTAAAATCACGCGAGATCTAGTAATTACTGATCAGTACTAATATTTCACCTACAATGGGTATAGAAGATCCTGTAAAACCATTCAAGCATTAAGAAAATCAAGGAGTGTTTTAAATGCTCAGAATCGTTTCAATTTAGGCAAGTTACTGTTAAAAAAGTTCTCTCCTGTAGGAAGCATACCTGCGAAGGTCATAAAAGAAAATTCTGATATTTTTGCACCAATTCTTCAAAGTCTTTTAAACGAAAATACCTCGCCGAATGACTTTCCAGAAACGTTGAAAGCCGGAGACATCTCATCACTTTATAAAAAGGACGATAATTTCGTAAAGAAACATTACAGACCAATAACAGTCTTGCCTGCTTCATCGAAGATCTATGAGAAACTAATGGAATCTCAAATGAAAGCCTTGGCTCCCTGCTTTTTCAATTCACTGTTGTGCGGTTTTAGAGAGAACTATAGCAGACAGCATGCTTTTCTTCGTTCTATAGAAGACCGCAGAAAGGCATTGGACATTGGTATCACTGCTGGGGTCGTGCTTATGGACCTTTCCAAAGCCTTTGACTGTTTGAGTCATGATTTGTTGATTACCAAACTAGAAGCATATGGATTTAGCAAAGGAGCATTGCAGTTTATCCACAGCTATCTGAACAAACAAAGCAGAGAGTAAAGGTGAATGGGTCTTTAAGCACGTAGAGAGAGACTAGCGTTGGCGTATCACAGGGATCTGTTCTGGGGCCTCTCTTGTTTAATATCTACTTAAATGACCTGTTTATGTTTGTGACGGACAGCAAAATATTCAACTATGCTGATAATACTACTATCTATGCATGCGATAGCAATCATGAAAATGTAATCAACAGATTAGAAAACGAAATCAACTGCATTAAACTAAATGTTGGCAAGTGCCACTTGATGATTTCTGGTGGAAAAAGATTTATCGATAAAAGTTGGAAATACAACCATCACAGAAAGCCTAGAAGAAAAGCTACTAGGAATGACTTTGGACAAACATCTTTCTTTTAAGACACACATAAAATCATCATGCAAGAAAGCAGGTCAAAAGCTCCACGCTCTATCGCGTAGTTCCTATTTACTTAACACTGATAAAACTCAAGCATATCGTGCAGGCTTCAGCTACTGCTCCTTAATGTGGATGTTTTGTGACAGACATGTTAATAACAAGATCAACATATTCATCAAAAGGCACTGAGTATTGCATACAAGGATAGTGTTTCTGCCTTTGATGTACTTTTGACTAGATAATTCTGTATCTGTTCATAAGCGGAAACTACAGTTGCTGATGACAGAGATTTACAAAACTAAATCGAATATCACCCCAGCCTTTTCCCAAGGCCCAAACAGTTCGGTTTAGGATAGATAGTATTGCTTACTTGGGATATAAACTGTGGCATCGACCCTCAAAGGACGCTAAACAGTCATTGAATATTTCCATCTCTGAAGAACGCATAAAGGAATGGAAGGGCACTTGGAGAAGGATTGACTGTTTTAGAGGAAAAGATGGATGCGCTAGACCCAAACAAAAACGAAATCTATAAATTTCTAGAATGTGAACAGGCAGATAAAACTGACGTGAAACGAGTCATGGTAAGGGTGAAGAAAGAAATGAGGAATAGACTAAGCCATCTAATTTGCTAAAACTTGAATGATCAAAACCCGATGAAAGCAATTAACTGCCGTGTAATTCCAGTTGCTGGTCACGTGATGAATGTATGCCATTTAGGAAGGAAAGACCTGGATGAATTGGATAGGATAGTGAGAAGTGTCCTGCAAAAAGAAGGATTTCATGGAAGACAGTCAAGTGATGAGAGATTGTACACAAAGAGAACTGAAGGGGGAAGAGGATTGAAAAGCTTTAGGGAGGTTCATGACGAAACAAAAACAAGAGTGGCATGCTACATGGTGATATCAACAAACGAGTGGATAGCAACAGCATGGAGAAACGAAATTCACAAAGAACAAACATTAATAAAAAAAAGAAGCCGAAAGGGTTATGAAGGAGGTTAAAACGGTTGTTATATTTCGTGAAGCAAGCATTGCAATAGGCGAGAAAATATCGACTGACTGGAAAGAAGGTTGGGAAATGCTGGAAAAGATCTTGAAAGAAGGGCATAAAAGAAATAAACAACAAACCTACGGAGAGAAGCAACTTCAAAGTGAAATACCAAAGACGTATGGTAAAGATGACTTTGGATGGTTAAAGTGTAATACCGACCCAAGAAAAACGTCGTCAATCTTTGCAATGCAGGAACAAATGATTGAAACAAAGCGTGGAAGAAGATCAGAGGATTGGGAGATGATGACAGCTATCGATTTTAGGGGAGCTTAGAGACAGAACACTTATTTTCTGGATGTAAGAAGCTGACAGGAACGGAGTTCTTTAAACGCCGTCACAATGCATTGAAAGTATTAGCAGTAAGATGAGCTATGAAGAACGGAATGATTCCAAAAGACACTAAATGGTATACAGTGAAGTGGGAACGAGAAACAGTGTTTGAGAAAGACGGAAAGAAGCTGTATTGGGATTGGGAACATCGAATTAGAACAACTTGCAAGGAAAGAAGACCAGAGCTTACATTAGAAAATCAAGCTAATAAGACGATACTGTTGGTCGACAGGGTGTTTCCGAACGAATCAAATTAAATAAAAAAACGAGATGAGAAGATCCAAAAATACCAACAACTATGCTTCGAACTACGAGAACGAAGGGAAGGGTATTCAGTAAATGTGATACCACTGATAATTGGATGTCTTGGTGGAGGGATGAAAGAATTCCAATCTAGCTCACAACGAATCCTTGAAAACTGTGATGATAGTGAACTAATTATGATAGCAAACGAAATGCCTTTGACTGTTTGAATCTTTGACTGTTTGAGTCATGATTTAATGGAAACATTTCAAATTCAAATTCAAATTCATTTCATATTCAGCAACAATTTACAAAAATTAGATGTCAATAAAACGATTAATATTGAAGTATAATTAGCAAATTACAATAGCATAAACAAAATTTAACAATATAGTTGCCTAGGATGCTAGGAGGAGTCGGGACGGTTTTCGAGCCCAACACCCTAAATACTGAGTTGAAAATATAAAAATGGTAACAATGAAAATCAAATTTTATGACAGTGAAAACTATTGAAAATGATATGAATTCAAATTCTGAGTTCAAGAACAAGAACAGAACAATTACAATAAGGATTAAGATAAACAAAAGAAAAGAAAGGGCAAAATTGGGTGAAGAGAGAAAGTAAGTGGGAGGGGAAGACACATATAATTCTCGTTTGATTTGTAATGAAGAAATCAAAGAGTAAGGGAATATGAATAACTATTGACTCAACTTAAACTGCAATTACAAATCTCACTATTACAAGGTAATTTGCAATTGGCTAGACTGGTTTTACAAGAAAAAACTATAACAATAGTAAGGTACAAGAAAAAAACTGAGAACAAAATAAAACAACCAAAGTTGAAAGGGATGTAATTACGGATTTGTCCATGGCTTATTTTTGCAACAAAATATGTAGTACGTAGTACGGATGGCAATGTTGGAAAGTTTAGAAATGAGATACTGTTTTTGTTGCTGATCGATGGAGAGAGAGTCACACATTTTGAAGAATGAATTGCAGGAATTGCCGAAGATGC